GGTCCAAAAGGGTACTGCTGGATTTCAGGAGTTTATTCTGTCATCTGTTGCAGGCAGTTCACTACACCATGCTGCCTCCTGGAGCAAAAGAGATGAATAAAGAGCTGCACAGATTGGACACCAATAATACTGTGATTTTTTTACTGTCCCTTGAATATCTTCTGCAGTTTAGTAAGAAAAATGGCCCAGGTGAATGTTTAACTCCTTTGCTATTCTAGTTATGCCTGGTATATAATCAACAAGCAGACGGTTCCAAAGTGTCTGATGCCTTCAGAATAATAATCACCTTTTGGACAGCTAACACCACATAAAATATTAACAATCAATATTCGCTGAGCATGCAGACCATAATGAGACAGTGGTTTTAATGAGACTGCATACACATGAGGTAATCTGCCTTCATGAGGCAAAGGGTTCCTATCTGGCAGTTGAACAAAGCTCTAATCCCTTAAAGACTCGCTTCTTACTTGAGCTACATTCTCATGAGTAACCTCATTAAGACCCATCATACCACTTAAATGTATAAAAGTCAGATTTTAACAGCAGTAGTGTTTCAAATTATTAATAGTAACAATGGTCTACAGTGTTTTACACAAAAACAGCCTTTGGTCAGCACTGAATAAATCTATCCACTTGCACAAACTCACATATTTTTCAACTAAATCAATTTGTTAAAATTTAAAAGGAGATATCAATAGAAATTAAAATCTTAATCTCTTTCGTGAATATTATTCACTACTTCCCTAAAGTCCTATAGGCCGTCTCTCTCTCTCTCTCTCTCTAATTAATTACTATGAAAAAACTAGATGGCACAGGAGAGACTGAGAAAGAATTTGCTCTTCTTCTCCAGGCAGCTCTCCAGCAGAACCAAGCAGGCATCAAACATCAAAGATCATGTGTTGTGCAGATGAACGGGAAAGAGGGACAGTGGGGGGAGGAAAGGGTAATGTGGTCAGTGGAAATGTTCCCTGGCTTCCCATTCTGTACAGTTCAGTTTTAGAGAGCCATCTGCAAAGCTGAAATCACAAAGTTTTTATGTCCCTTTCTCAAATCCAGGTACCCTTCTGATGACAACAAATCTAATCCATGTCATAAAGCTTTGCTGAGTTTTCCCCACAAGTACTAATGCAGCTTTAGCACAGCACTGATACTCATATACTTAGCGTTCTTCCAGAAATGGATTCTTTGGAGACCAATACAGTCCATTTCTTCCTAAAGCAAGAAATCTACTGTTCCATGAAGAATTATGCAGCTCTAACACCATTTATTATTTATATCTAAAATGGGTGTGATGCTTTAGGAGCATGGTCATAACCACAAAATGCTGACAACCTTTTAGCAGTCACACGATGTCTTCGATGTGCATGAAGCTCCTTTGGATGTCAACAGGAATCCAAGCAGGTTAAAGAGCTGGTCCATGCTAGGCAGTATTTAAAACATGATGATGCAGAGAAATCAAGGGATGAACAAATAAGATGCCTCCTTACATTCAGGGTTTTGTTAATATGTACTATGTAATTTTTACAAAGTATTTTTTTTCAATTCAGAGGTAACCAGGGAGTGTTTTAATTTGTCACTATTGTGAAGATAATTTTCTCTCTTCAGGAGATGCTTACAAGTATTTCTGCTTTGTTATGATAGTGTTCAGAAAATGCTTAACTTTATGTTTCCAGTCCTTTAATTTGTACTAACTGTAATAAAAAAACTTAAAGCATCAGTCTTTCTACCACACCTGCATCAGTTTCTCATACTGGAAGCAGAACTTTGGGACAAGATGGGATCTGCAGTCAATGAGGCTGATCTGTTCATTTCCAGCCCAGAATGACCAAACACAGAGCCAGAGTCTACGCACGAATGCATGCAAAGGACAAAGGCTATTGAAGTTTAGGCCATTATTAAACCAAATGCAAATCTGAAGTGAAACTCAAAACGTTAATTTCAAACCAGATGCAAATGTCCATCAGAGGTACAATCTGACGATTGGATTTACCACACCCTACCAGGAGCACTTGCGTTACCAATGACAGGACAAGCCAGATGCCCCACCGCGCTCATCAGACCCCCAATACCCATACGTTTCCATTCCCTGAGCAGCAACCGCGGTCGAGGTCTGACCCTACGCCCACCTTCAGCACCATGTTCCTTTCTCTGCATGCATATATACGCTCCCACCCTCATTTAACGCGCACGGAGCCGCCGCACCTCCCCGCAGTCCCACCGCCACCCTCCGGGCACTGGGAAAGGCTGAGCGGGATCCGCCGCCTGGCCCGGCAGGTGCGGCGGGGTACCCAGCCTCGGAGGATGCTCTGCGGCGCTCAGCCCCGCTGCTGCCCGCGCCGGAGCCCCCTGCACGGCCCGGCTGCAAAACAGCACTGGGCAGGCGACGGTCGGCGGGGGGACATCCCTGGCCTCCCCCTGCCCCCAAATCGCCGGCGCACCCTCAGGGTGCGGGCACCGCAGCGCGGCCGGGCACCAAGGTCAGCGTGGCTCCGGCCGCCCTCAGGGACGCGGCGCTGCCCCGGCGCGGCGCAGACCCACCTCTGGCAGACATGGCTCAGGCTCGGCAGTCGCGGAGCTGCTCCTGCTGCTGCTGCTTCTGCGGCGGCGGCGGCGACAACGCTCGGCCCGCACCGCCCTGCGCCCTCCGCGCCGCGGCGGCCGATGCAGGGGGGGCGGCGGCCGATGCTGGGCCGGGCCGGGGCGGGCGGGTCCGCTCCGTCCCTGCCCTGCCCTGCCCTGCCCTGCCCTGCCCGCCGCGGTGCGGGGCGGCGCCGGGGGCGTCCCTGCGGGGCGGGCGCGCGGCTGTGTGTGCGGGTGTGTGGTGCGGGTGTCGGGATGTGTGTGTGCGTGTGCCGGAGCGGGGCGGGGCAGAGACGCGGCAGAGCCGCTGCCGGGCGCGGTGCCTGCGCGGGGAGCGGCCCCGGCGGCGCTCGGGTGCGGCGGTGTCACCGCACCGACGGCGTGCGGGGCGCGGTGCCGCACATGGGGACAGAGTCGCACCGGCGGCAAAAGCCACGAACGCCAGGGAAAGCAGCGAGGCGGATCTCCAGCTCCTTGGGAGCGCTGGATGGGCGGGTCTGCTCCCGGAGCCACAGCGCCGTGCGACAGCAGCTGTGCGCGTTCGGGACCTGGCGCTGAAGTCTGTGGCACAACTTGAAGTTCGCCCTCCGAACGGCAAAGATACACCTGCACATCTGTAGGTAAATGGTATATAAACGTAGGGTTCTTGCAATCTTGTCTAGCAAAGCAATCTTGGCGTTACTGCACAGGAAAGAGCACCCAGCTCCCTCCTGACACCTTAATAAAAGCAGCAGGCGACTGACTGCAACGCACCAGAACAAGATCAGTGTCTGGTGGACACCCCTCCCCATGGTGGCCCAGCCTCCTGCCTAATAAAGCCAAATATTGCCAAGCCACACTAAAATGACAACCCCTATGCCACCAGATTATTAGATGCTGGCAAGAGTTAAGGAAAGCAACAATCTAGTTTATCAAGAATGACAGGGTAGAAGACCACATCAGAATAATGCAATTAAAACACTACAGCAGGCTTTTATCAATTTCAGAATGGGCAACTATGAACTAAGAAACAGAAAGCACAATCTGTGATGTTCAGTGAAGAGCCAACATGCAAACTAAATGACAGGAGAGACTGAATCACACTCCTCCACTTTGCTCTACCATGCACTATACATCTTCATTCTAGCAAAGAAGCCTACACAATTTCTCCATCAAAAAAACCCCACAATTACCAAATCTTCTTATCTAAGAGAAGTGGTGAAGATTACATCAGTGTGTCCACAGAGCAGGAATGGGTGCTAGTAACAGATGTACCACGTGTTCCCACTGCTGTTTGCAGGTGCAGCCCAGCCAGTGTATCTGCTGTCAGATCGACCCTCTGGCACTGCTGTTACACTGATCACCTTCCCTACCACACCAACTAGGAAGTAATAATGTGGATAGCATGTGTGTAAGCAAGTATGGAAGTAGCAGCAGGATGGACAGCACTCACATACCTTCTTAATGGGTGATACCTGCACAGAAAATGAATTGGCACATCTGTCTGTCTGAATTTGTGCTCATACTCACACACAGCAAAGACTTTTAGTCATAGCCAGCTCTATTTGCCATGGATTACCCCAGCGTCCTCCCACATTTCAATCGTATTTCTTATGTCATTCTGTTTTCTTGCCCCTTGCAAATGTTTCTGAATTCTGCAGCAGGAATAAAATAACTCTGAAGTTGTTCTTCTCCTTCCAAACTCCTATGGCATTATCTTTAGTTGGTGAACTGACATCCACTTGAAAAACAGTTCCTTTCCTGGTCTTCTTTTCTGAAATTAGTGAGGTTTTCCACTTGCAAACAACTCAAATTTTCCTTCTGGTCCAAAAGGGCCAAAGTTTTCCACAATCAATGTAGTATGACAGGATTTTGTATTTTTAAGTGAGTCATTTCCTATGCATTTCCTTCAGTGAGTTTCTGAGTAGCACTATGACAGGTTCTCCTGTGTGGTACTCAATAGATGGTTTTATAAAGAAGGTTCAGGAACATGCAGAAACTAGCTTTTTAATGAAGAACTTCCTTTCTTTATACTGCTAGGAAGCAGGAAGGGAAAGGCATTTGTAACTTGGGTTTCTGTGGAACACAAAGAGTTTATTCCCTTCATTATGTAAATTTTCTATGGCAGAGAAGTTCAACAGACATTTTGGTCAGATAATTCTAAAATGGGTAAGATACAGGACTCATTTATTTAGGTTTATTTAGAGGTTTTTAGATGGGTTTCTGGAGGAATTGAGGCTGATAGAGTTTTATTTTCCTGTCTGTCCCATCCATCAAGTCCCCTCCAAAAATGTTCCAGATTTGAATGTAGGGAATTTCAATTCAAGTTGACTAAAAGGTATAATTTAGAACGAGTTCTACATCCCTACAAGTTTTGTAGCAATTAGCACTTACAAAGATAAATTAAAATGAAGGAGAAAAGCTGCAGTGGGAACAGTTACCAGTTCTGGAGGCCACGTCTTCATTAGCCACAAGTACCAGTCAGGCAATCTGCATGTGGACAGCTGAATCAGCTCCTGTAGTTGCTGTCTGAGATCCTGCCAATATCTAGGGAATGTGGAAGGAAGCTGAAGAGGGTGGAAAAGGAAGGTACATAGAAGAAATGAGAAACCATTATTACTCTTTTACAGATGAAGACCTCAGATAGATAGGAGATGTTGAGTCAGAGAAGATGGATAAGCCAATCTAAGGCTTGCTCAGTCACTCTCCTGTGCACTCCTTCTTTTCTTACTCCAACCCCTGTGCTCCTGGTTCCCTCACTGCAGCACTGGTCTGATGCTCACAGAACTACTTTAACTCAATAATTAGCAAAGAGTTGCTCACTTTCTGTATCCAAGTTCACTACATTCACTCCCTGAACCAAAGGCTCAGACAAACACTAGGACATGACAGACGGCAAGTGCAGAACTGCACAGCCAGGAAGGGTGAGCAGGAACCATTAGAGGGAACAGAAATGGTCCTTTTTTAGCAGCAGCAAGCCACTGAGCTGTTTGATTGAGCCATTTCCTGACTACTTTAGAAGTCCATTAGGGAGCAGTGATTGACATTGTTTTATTTCAGGCATCTACCTGAGGCATCTGAATTAGTCAGCTGGGAAGTAGGATCCTACCTCCTGCATTCTCCTATTGACTGTGCAGACAGCCAAAGCTTCTAACTCACAACGTGAAAAGATCCATTAAGATCAACATTTTTTAAAGGTACTCAGGCTTTAACAGATGCAAACAGGCACCTCATGATTTTTTTAGAGATGCCCAAATAATAATAATCTATTTTACCAAACAATAGGTGTTTTCAGATCCCCTGTTGGTATTCTCAGATTTTTAAATGCCCTTGTGGAGTAAAGTATGTTGTCCAAGGTCACAGAGTAAATCTATGTCAGGGCAAAGAATAGAACCTGCATCTTCAAAGAAAAGTATCCTAAAGAGTGGACTGTATTCTCTGCACAGCATACCTTGCTGTCCCTTAGCCATTGCATGAATATAAAAAAGAAAGCTTTCCTTTCATCACATTTGAACTGGTTTTTCACATATAAAGTAGGATAGTAGTTTTAAAAATAATTAAGATCTAATCAGTTGTATGTAAAAGTGTTTTTTTCCCACTGAAAATCAGTGGAGGATGACTTGGCACGGACAAAAAAGCAGGTAAAAGTCAGCATTACATCTTTGTCTGATGCAGATAACTCATCAGTCAGAATATACCCATCTTTGCACAATGCAGGGTGTTTCCTCTTGTAAGACATTGTGAGAAAAGTGAAGGGTTTTTTTGGAACAAAAGATAAATTCTTACAGAAGTAGGGTTCATTAAACAACTTCTGTAGGCAAGGCAAATGGCAAGGATGGCCAGGATTGGCCTGAATTATCTGTTTAACTTATTTTGCTGAACTGATATTGGAATGCTGAAAAATGACAGAAACTAGAGGAATTTTTTACAAATTTTTGATACATGTTTCACTATAACTCCACTGGCTCATTTCTTAGGGAAATCAGACCTGTAGCAGTCAAATCTACAGTATTACTAAGGCCTGATAATTTATTCAGAATTTTAATAAGCTCAGAATAAATCTCTCTCTGTGACATGAATGACAAGAAAGCAAGACAGCTCTCTTACTTTTAATGTAATGCCCTTACTGGGATTTGCAATTAGTCAGTAATGGGCAGCACAGCACATTCACATAAATACATGGCCTTTCACTGATTGCAATGAGCTTCCAGGACAGTTTTCACTTTTCTCTTTTGAGAAAAGTTCCCATTTATATATTTCAAAGGAACCTCAAATTACTCACACTCAAATATTAATAGAAATCTTCACTGAATTTTTTTCCCCAAACATCCCACATAAACATCACACAAAAAAAAGGAAACAAAATCAAAAAGATAGAAAGTTCCTCTGAGTGAGACAAATACTGAAGTTATCTTCCTTGTTTCTTCTTATTCCAGTTGTCTTAATCCTCTGCATGTTATTCAGCTCTCCACATTGTCTGTGATATATGCACTTCAATGGCAAAAATTATAATATTGAACCTCTGTTATCCCAAGTCAGTACAGACTATTGGACTTGAATAACCCACAAAGTTTTACACAGATTATGTAAGATCATGCTATCACATAAATGATACAGGTTTTATATAACCAAGAAATATTGGCAATCCTGGAAAACTAAGGAAAAGCCCGCAGATAAGCCTATTTATATCTAGTCTGGATTGCTCTTCCATCAAAATGACTACTGTGCCTGTGGGAACTTAGGACAGAAAGGCCAAAATGACAATTCATTTCTGAGAGTCAAGTCTGGAAAGATCATCACTGGGCAGCATTTACTGCTGAAGAAGTTCAGCATCACCCCTATGTGTGTACCCTCATCATGAAGATCCCAAGAAAGAGTTCAGAGTCAGAAACTTAATCAGGTTTTGAATGAGGTTCTCACAGGTTCACACATGAAACATATAGTGTGAGTAAGAGCTGCAAATACAAGTCTATGGGGGCTGAGGAGATGCATCCCAGAATCCTGAGGGAATTGCCAGATGCAGTTCCCAAGCCACTCTCCATGATGCTTGAAAAGTCAAGTGAAGTCCCTGGTGACTGGAAAAAAGGAAAACATCACTCCTATTTTTAAAAAGGGTGGAAAGTAGGACTCTGGGAACTACTGACCCATCAGCCTCACCTCTGTGCCCGGGAAGGCCATGGAACAGATCGTCCTGGAAGCTGCGGTAAGGCACATGGAGAACAGGGAGGTGACTGGAGACAGGCAGCAGGGCTTCACCCAGGGTGAGGTTTAGAGACAATCCCATAAACTGCATTTGTTGGTAATTATACATTATAGTTTTTAGATCAGCATCAAGTAAGGGCATTACCTCACTGTGTGCCCTACTTTACTGTTTACCATAGAGAATTTGCTAGGCAAAGAGTCGGTTAAATGTGCAAGTGTTCTTACATAGAGTAACTTTTACACCATGTAGAATGTGGCAGGCATTTGCTTGGTCAAAGTTCACCTTAGCAAAGATCTAAATGAAATCTAAATGAACAGCATGGCAAGAAGAGCAAAGAATATTCTGAATAAACTATAACCAAAATCTCTCAGCATTCCTACATATGGGAAAATTTTAAGGAATGAGAAGTGAAAATTCATCTGCAGTTGTAATTACAATATGCCAAACTCTGAGAAGTGGGTAAATTACATTCTGCTGTGAATAGCCAGGCTTGGGTGGGGTTAGAAGTCTGGGGTCAAAAAAATTAATTATCTAAATAATTGTGAAAGTTCATCAGTGTGTAATTTGATATCTGATCATAAAAGATACTTATGTTTGTCCCTGTACTCTTGGAATTCACACACTGCTGAGGCTGTCTTAATTTCTCAAGGCTATTTTCTTTATACATATTTTCTGTTCTGAATACTGTGTTGCAGGGCCCTCTGGCTGAGAAGTACAGAACTGGACAGGCCTCCCTTCAGAGCATTTCAAGATCATTCCTTAATTAGCTGGTGGGTGCAATTTGATTTGAGAGACACAAAGTACTGGCTCTTTTTCAGGAGATGTATGCCTTGTTCCTTTTCATAATAAATCAAGATACCAAGCCCTGGCACCCGACCTGGCACTGATCAGTTTTATAGCTCAGGCACATGCCTGCAGGTGAACACAACCTCTTAGATAAAATCTCCTGGAAATTGTGATGGCTGTTTCACAAGGACTTGGGACACACTTGGGAAAGAACATGGTCCAACCAGCCAAAGGAACTGAGCTTTCTTACATAACATTTTTCTTTCAATACATTTTTTAAAAAACAGTACCAGGTGGTTTAATTTAGCCATGCTTTTTGTTTTTGTTTTTAAGTCCACTTTTGAATCTGTTTGAGCTTAGGGCTGATGCTAATTCTCCACAACATTCAGTTGTTTATTCCCCAGCAAGTCATGCTGACAGAGACGCCAGCAGATGATGGAATTCCCAAGTTGAGCACATTGCCAGAGTAAAACACGGCGTCAGGCTGCCCTCTGTGGGCTGGGATCGGGCTCTGGGACGAGTGGTTTTGCAACAGCTCATGGAGACTGATTCACGTTAGTCCAAGATTTCTACATCTGAGCACAGAATTTTGACTTATGCTGTACATACAATGCCAGTGTCACAACTGGTTGTCTGTTGCCGAAGAGGCAGCAGGAAATGCAGACTGCTGCAGACTGCAGGTGCCTGATGCAGCAGTCAGGCACTCCAGGTACTAATCACAGCTCAATATACAGCACCTGGGAATTCCTGGGAGACCCAGACACCGGGCATAACAGCTCCTGAACATAAAACCAGAGAAACTAAATGGCTGGAAATACTTCACTTGGCACACGAGCTGCAAGGCAGGAATCGAGTACAGCATATTACAGCACTACTCCAAGATCTAATCAGGAACAGGTTCCATTATATTAGGCATATTACAAACACAGGTCTGCTTACTTCAGCATTTCACAACACGAGGACTGAGTGTCAAACCAGTCCAAAGCAGCCCGAGGCAAAAGAACAGGGAAGAGCAACAGAAATATTCCTGCATGACACTGGGTCTACTACAGACTTCATTTTCTTTGCTCAGTCAGTAGTGCCTCCAGCTCAGTTCCTTAAAGGCTTCATCCAAGTACAGACGCTTGCTCCTACAGGGCTGATGACTCAGAAAAAAATTACAAAGGATCGAGCTGTCCATACTTTTTCTGGAAATGCAGTTTGGCTCAGAGTACAGCTTCTGAACATGAAATTCTATGAGAAAGTGAAGAGGTGGAGGTGGTTCCCTCTACCCTAACCTACAGGTAAAATAATGCAATGGAGATGTACATGGTCACTCTCACCTCTGTGGGAACCGCACAAGAATTCAGTTGTCAAGAAGGGCCAGTCTCTCAATACAAGACTCTTCCTAAATTCATTGGGGCTTAGTTGTTGCAAAGATGCTGCAAAGATGCAAATAGCATGTGGCAGCCACAGGGGTAAGTCAATGTCTTAATAAACTCAAACCAGTCCTGTAGCTTCAAATAACGTGATTGGAGAACCAAGCAGGACAAGTGAACTGCTAATGATGGGCTGTCACGTGTAGCAACCAAAGCTTTTACGACCCAAGTAACACGCAGCAGTTAAGCCCAGAGGCAACATCACTAGTTGACATAGTAGTTCATTCTACACGGGATACACAGGTTAATTTTTTTCCCTAAAAACATTCTGTGAGGGAATCTCCCTAAATCCCGCTGCTTTGTGTCCCAGAGGTTAAGCCAGGTCAGCTGCGCTCTCTGCTGGTGAGAGCTGGAACTCCCGGGAGTCAGTGGCCACCTTCCCGGTAAACACCAGACTGGAGAACAGCGCTGGAATTTTGTCACGCAACTTTATGGGCAGTGAACGCTGGAGAGCGTTGTGACACTAGTATTTGGGCCTTTCGAGATAATTGTGCCATCAATAACTTAAAATTAATCATGAAGCCGCTATCGAGTGCCTTGCAACATAAATATTTTAGACACTTGCTTCAAAATTAAGACATTTTACAATGCCAAAATTTCAAGTCGGGATCCATAAGAGATTTCAATTATGCCTCAGGACAGAGATATGTGAATTGAAACTCTGACAAATCCTACTTTTAATTGTGAACTAATGAGAAAGAGAACTCTGCTAACAGCTTCTGTACTTGCATGGCAGTAGTGTGCCTGAATTAATTTGCATAACTCATATAGACTATCAAGATCAGCTTTTGCTTATGATTAAACAGATTATCTGATGACATTTTAGGGATCAACAGATTACAGCCCTTAATCTAAAGATGTAAGTAACAATGAAATCTTATTATGCATTAGAAAACAAACAATGCCGTCAGAGCTGATCTGAACATTGCTTGGAAATCTCTCAGTAGGGTAAAGGCTAAGCACCTAAATTCTCCTCAGAAAAACACACAGATTCTGACTGCCAGACTTCTATCTCTGCAAGTGCTCAGATGAAAGATTGAGGGAACCAATTCACAGCAGACAGTCAGTCAATTATTTTGTTTCCAGTATTTTAGGGTAACATCCAGTTATACATCTTTTTATAAGAGAAACTCTTGCAGTCATTACTGTTGCAATACAGCATAAACCCAGTAGTCTATCTTTAATCTCTTTGCTTCAGCTTTCACTACCACAAGAACAAGCAAATCTCTGCTCCTGCTAACCTGCAGACTTCAGTGAAATTGGCTAAGCTCTAACTGGTCACATTCGAATGTATTTTATCTGGTTTCAGTAATTTATTATATGCTAACATTTGCAGATACCCTGTTGCAGAACATTCATATATTTACTTATGGAGGAAAACCTGGATTGTAATGCTGCCAGTGGAATAGAAACATTTCAGGGAAACATGATGTGTTTGCAAAATAAATGTCTCATTTCACTGACAACATGTACTTCTGACCTCCTCGTGGCCTCCTTTACAAGCCATTATATAAGATAAATCAGGGTAGTACAGACAGTGTAACTGAAGCACAAACATAAGCAATAGCTACTGGGCAGGCAATATTTGCCCAGTATTGTGTCTTCCACAGTATCAGTGAATGTTGGTGTCAGAAGGCACTTGAAGATGTGACAAGCAAGCAATTAGACAAGAGATTAATCACTAGGAATTTTGTAACCCATCAGAAGACAAATGAATATCTGCACAGAAGGAGCAGATGTGCAGATGCGGAGCAGGACGCGCAGGCCAGGAAATGCCTGAAAATGGGATTTATGAAATACTGCATGAGCTGATTACATGGTGCTGCCAGCAAATCAGCAAGGAGGGAGCTGATGCACACAGATGAGACCACAGCCAGCCAGAAATTCATGGCAGAAAATTACTTCAGTTCCACTGCTTGCTCTTCAGTATGTAATGCACAACATGCTTTCTTTCTGTAATAAAGCCCAGAATCAGACAGGTATGAAGATGAAGTTAACAATCCCTTTCGCCCTCCTAAAAAGCAGAGAGCATGCTGAGCCACTGAAACTTCATTCTTTATTTCATCCAAGTAGTCACTGAAAACATAGATGTCAATCTGATTATTATAAACACAATAAAATCCAGAATATCAACAGATATTGGGCATAGCTCTACCAGCAAGTTTTCATCCTAGGGTACAAAAATGCACCTTCCAAATTTTCAGCCTCTCTGAAGTGAAAGTCCAGACTGCAGGAAGTTCTTCAATAATGTAGATAAATGCATCCATTAGACACTGGCTTGATGCCATCAATCCAAATAGCAGAGAAATTTTCAGATAGAAAGGCTAGCCAATTATCTCACTGTCTCACTCCATCTAAATTGATTTGATCTAGACAATTTCATTAATTTGTAAGAAGGAGAAAAGTTCCCAAAAGCTCTATCAATTAGAACAGCCTCACTTTCACACTGTGTCTTCTCACATTCAAGCAAAACACTCACTCACTGCATTTATTGTCCAAAAAAAAGAAATACCTCACCAAAAAAACCCCAACACCCTCAAACCATCAGAACTCTGCTCTCAAGGGTACTAAAATAGGTAATAATACTTCAGTAGAAACATTGTGAAGCATGAGCAGGTGAAGATGTATTATTGCACGTGATATGACACTGGTAGCCCATCCATAACTGCATCATCTCCAACTAAATAATCTCCAGTGAGAACAAGAAGTATCCAAACAAAATGTAACCTCAGCTAAGTTCTTGTGCACTGACACTGGTGAAATAATTTTTCCCTTAGTTTCCAATGATTTGCATTATTACTGGTCTGTGAATAGCTATCCAGTATTCCCAGTAGTGAGAAATACATACATGTACTTGAGAAATTAAGAGACTACTTTAAAAAAGCATTCAAAAAGTATATCTACAATTTGCAACAGATATAAGCACTACAGGCTGGATTCTGCATATATGGCTACAAATTCAAGCTCAATCTATTGGCAAATAAATGCAGGCTTATGTGCAGAGACTCAATTTGTTTCATAAGTTTAGGAATAATCATTTAACTGTGGTATTTTCTTTGTTTCCTCTACTGGAAGGCATTTCACATTGAGAAGTCCTAATAAGAAGTCACTTTTACAATCAAAATCTTAATTTCAACAGCTATGAAATGTTCTGTTTAAATAATAATGAATTTATATACATCAGGCACTCTTAGAAAAGCTTTACCTCACCATCTGTGACTCTGTGACTTATGATTTCATAAATTGTTAAGTATGCCTAGGAATACTCTCACAGTTGTAAAACTGTCTCTTTTTATATCTTCATGATATCTTACTGTTTCTTTATTCATTCTGCTGCTCAGAAATGGGAAGGCCCAGGCACATTCTAAAGGCATTTTTTCAGAAACAAAAAGATTGCAAAGAGCGTCTTAAATTACCGTGTTCTCTTAGACACCCTAATTAAGTACATGTGCCTTATATTCACATTTTCTTCTGAAATGATGCAGGTTCCAAAACGGTATCTATGGTGAGAAAATGGGAAGGTGCCCATTAACATAGTAAATGACTTCACACTGATGGAAGGAAAGCTGTACCACTCAATTGTTGTGCTGACAACATCTGCACTGAAAACTACAACTCATTTTAATCTTTTTAATGAAAGCATTATGAATTTTAAATTAAAACCATACAAGCAGGCTGAAAGTAACACCTGAACTGTACTTATATAAAAATAATAATATAAATAAATAGCAAAGTATTACATATTAAAATACACATACACATTAATAATAATCTGTATGTATTGCAAAACTATAGTCGATGACACTTAAATTCATCTCAAGAAGGCTTTTCCTCCTAGAGCACACTTAAAAAGTCTAACAGAACTTTTAATGTTAAATGATAGAAGATAGGTACCTTCCAAATGCAGCATCTGTCCAGTCAATAATTACCTAAACACAGAGATGGTACATATGTTTCATCATGTGACTGCCCACACAGAAAATTTACATTTCTATACGAACATCTATAGAATATAACTTGACAAACCAAGAGTAAGCAGATTTTAAAAACCCAACATGTAACACTTTTTAAATTCTTATTATTTTATATATATGGATTTTGAGAAGGAAATAACTAGCTCTGCAGCAGAGGTGTCCACATACAACTACTATTTACTTCCACAGAATATTTGGACTGTAGCTCTCTGTGCCTGCAAAGCACAGAGGTAGTAACAGCAATCAGTACAGCAGAATTGTGGTAAGACTTCATCACAGGGTCAACAGTCACAGTCTGACTTCCCAGGTGACACAATTTAAAGAGCAGAAGTTAAATAGTAGTTTTGTCTTGTCTTTGGCTTCATCTCTCTCTGCTTTCTCCTAGCATATGACGAAGTTTGTGTTCATTCATCTCCAAAAATTAACGAGGCAGCTTTCCTTCATTTGGTACTACAGGTTCTCTTCCTTTTCCCTTACTGGTCTGTCACCTTCCCAACATTTCACTCTTCTCTGCTGTGCCAAAGCAATCCTGTTCTCCTACTTTCATTTGCCCAGTGACCACATATTATCCCATGAATGGCAGTTGTTCCCAAAACATCACATTGCTTGCTAGCTACATCCATAACCTCTGCTCACCCCACCTTATCTCTCCTTTTTGCATGGCACTGGAAAATGGCAGGGATGACCGTTCTCTTTGAAGTATTTGGTTTGGAGGTGAAATAAAGCCATCTTTGTCTCTTTCTCTCTGGAAAACAAACAATCAAATAAACAAAAATAAACAAAAACCCCCCAGTGAAATGGGTAATGTGCACATTGCCACAAGCCCTCCTTAGCTGTGGTACGCTGCAAGTCCCAGGCTGACTGCATTCAGACAGGACCATGCCACCCACTCCACCTGTCTCTCACCCAGCAGCAGCAAGATTGACTCATTAAGGTTGGAAAAGACCTCCAAGATCCTCAGGTCCAACCTTTGACCTCGTACCACCATGACCACTAAACCATACGGCGAAGTGCCACATCCACTCGTTTGGTGGTGACTCCACCACTTGCCGCTGACTTTTGGAGCTTATCACTCTTGTGCTGCTTTGTGGAGAGCTGGGCTCGTCATTGTATCCTTGAGGATCTCACTGTCCTTGTGGACAGTGACAGACCCAAAATGTTACAGCAGACAGCAAGCTGGGCCTTGGGCCACCCACACCAGGGCTGCTCCATATCTGTACCATGGTGGCAGGCAGGTGGAGGTGGCTGTCTCCCCACCCTCATGATTCTGAAGGGCACATGTAGCCACAGAGACCTTTGTGGGAGACTGATGGCAGTGTTTGGACACAGGGACAGCAGAGGTGGGCGACTCTTCCCCTCACCTGAGCCAGTGTGCACGCAGGCAGCCAAGAAGACCAATGGCATCCTGCCCAGGATCAGGAATAGTGCGGCCAGCAGGACCAGGGAAGGGCTTATCCCCCTGTGCTTGACAGTGGGGAGGCCACACCTCAAGTGCTGTATCCAGCTCTGGGCCCCTCAATTCAGGAAGGCCACTGAGGTACTGGAGTGTGTCCAGAGACGGCAATGGAGCTGGGGAAGAGACCGGAGCACCAGTCCTATGAGGAGTGGTGGAGGGAGCTGGAGGTATTTAGTCTTTAGAAAAGGAGGCTCAGGGATGACCTTATCACTCTCTACAACTACCTGAAAGAAGGTTGTGGTGGGTTGGGTATCAGTCTCTTCTCCCAGGCAACCAGCAACAGCACAAGACAACATAGCCTTAAGCTGTGTCTGTGGAGGTTTAGGTTGGACGTCAGGAAGAATTTCTTAACAGAAAGGTGCATTAGACATTGGAATGGGCCCAGGTAAGCAGTGGAGTCATCATCCCTGGAGGTGTTCAAGGAAAGACTGGACGTGGATCATGGTGCCGTGGTCTAGTTGACCTGGTGGTGTTCGGTCACAGGTTGGACTCGATGATCTCAGAGGTCTTTTCCAACCTAATCGATTCTGTGATTCACCTCCCTGCCTGGGAATTGCCCGCAGAGGCGGGGGCTGCCTCGGGGCTCGGTGCCCGCTGCCAGCCCGGCCCGGGCGCTCCGGGCGGAGCGGAGCGGGGCGGGCAGGGCAGGGCAGGGCCGGGCGGCGTGCGGGGGGTGGCGGCCCCTGCAGGGCACCCGGAGCCTCGGCAGCCGCCGCCGCCGCGCCCGGCGGTGTCAGTGCCACGGTGTCCGCCGGGGAGCGAGAGGCAGCGCCGGCGCCCGCCCGCCCGATCCCCGCGGCCAGGCCCCCGCATGCAGCCCTCACCCTGGAGCGGCGGCGGCGGCGCATCGAGGAGCTCTCGCGGTCCTCCCGGCAGCGGCTGCTGCAGTCGCGGGACAGGATGTTCTCCAAGTTCACCTCCATCCTGCAGCACGCCGTGGAGGCGGTAAGGCCGCCAGCGGGCCCGGCCACGCCGCGCCGGGGCTGCGAGCCGGGCCTAGCGCCGAGCGCGGGGCAGGGGCTCGGGCGGGCTCAGCGCCCCTTCCCTGCCGGCCCTCGGGGCTGCCGCCGGCCGGGACCCCGCGGGACGCGGGCCCGGACCCGGCACGGCCCTGCCGCGGGCCGGGGAGGCGGAGGCCGAGGGGGAGGCTCCACGGGGAGAGCGGGGAGGGAGCGACTCGCCCCAGCGCGGCCGTGCAGAGCCGGGGGTGCCGCGGGAGGACGGAGCGGCCGCTGCCCCTGCGGCCCCGGCTCCGCTCCTGCTGTCACCGCCGGGCACTGCCGGGCCCGAGGGCAGCCCAGGCCCGGCCCTCGCTCGGCCCGTGCCTTTTGGCGAGACAAACAATACAGGAGGTGAACCAGGAAGCTCCTCAGGATTTTCATATTGTAGCGGCCCTCAGACAATAGCCGCCGTGTCCGGTGCTTCTGCGGGACTGTGTTTGATGTTTTTGACCTCTGGTTTGTGTTCCCGCTGGCCGGGGACTCCCGGGGCTGTGTTTGTGCCCCGAGCCGTGCTGGGCAGAGGAAGCGGGGCCTGTGTGTGAGCTGCCATCGCCGCAGGCCGCGTTCGGCTCTGCCTGTCCACACCGCTTATTTTTGTTTGCTTTTCGCCGAGGCGGGGTCCTGGTGGTGATTCCCTGCCTTTCAGCGCCTCTCCCAGTGAGCCAACACACCTGCCACACTTGAGTCTGAAGAGGTGCTAAAAAGTGGCGGTGAAAGACTGCTGGAAATGAAGGTGGAGAGTGTTGGAGGAAAATTGTTCAAATGGTTGCAAAAAGAGCTTGCAGGCTACATCCTAATGGTTGTAAGAAGAGCCTGCATGCCAAATGCTGCCTTATGTGAGGGCCAGCCTTTGTGCATTAGTGTATGCTTCGATACTGCACTTGAGCACATGCTTGGCTTTATGTGTGCTTGTGGTTCTGTAGCAGCATTCAGTTTTAAAAGTTAGGCATGTATTAATTGCAGTTTGCCCTTGTAGTGGTAAAGTGGCATTTGGAAAGAAATGTTTTAAATAATGACGAAATGTCTTATTTGAAAACACTCTGACCACATGAGAATGCCTTCAACAGACAGTTCTTTCTTTAGAGGGGAAACAGAAATTAGTGCCTGCCTGACTAAAGAAAGCTTGTTATGGTGACCTGTGCCACATTTTGAGTAAGACTGGATGACAGGGAGATGCAGGAGGGAAGGAGAAGTTACTCTTTCAGGCCTACCTATTCAAGAGATCTAATAGAAGTTATTCCTAGAAGAATGTTTACATTATTGATGTGTGCAAAAATAAACAAAAAGAACTGCATTTATTTGAGATCCATAAAAAGAAAAATAGGAAAAACGAATGGGCTGAATGGAAAAGGAGAAAAGTAGAGGTGGTAGGGACTAGACAATCTTTTTTGATTAAAAAAAGAACAACAAAATGCAGAAACAGATTGATACCATCATTTTGCAAGTGAGTGCTATCGAACAACATGCTATTTGTCCTTGCTCAGCTCTGGTGTCCCTTTTAGAATTGCCTCATTCTGTGATGGATCTCCTGATAACAAATACTGCACTAAATTGCATTTACAGCGTTGTGACAAATACTGAGCACCACGCACTGGGAATGAAACATGGACTCACAAAGGCACGAGGATATTAAGAATGTTTCTTGCTGGATCTAGAAAGTTTGACTCACCAATTCAGGACTGAACTGAGAAACAGAAATTTTACACCAGTTTAGGGGCTGTATGTGACTTAAAGTTGTTTTATTCTACCTAATGAAAGTATGGGGGCTGCTTCGCTTTGCTGTGCTGAAAATGAGAACTGGTGAATCCTGAATATTAGATAAGGCCACTTTGATGCTGCCTGCTGTTTTCAGAACCTAGAGAATTGCTGTTATTGCTGTGGAACAAGCGTAGCTTGTAAAGCCCCAAGTGGACTCTGAACCCTGAGTGTCAGCAATGGAACTGGTTACTAAGATATTAATTCTCAAAGGTTTTGGGTGCCTGCCTCCCAGAGGAATTCAGTTGCAGCTGAACAGTTTTCAGCTGAGCTGGACACTTAAATGCACTTAAAGAGCCTGGGCTTGGATTTCGTGGGTGGGACTACTTTAAATCAGAGTGGTTAGTGCAGCCTTTCTCCCCTGTCCTTTCTCCTGCACATCACTTACATAATGGTCCTGCCCTGCCTCAGGGCCCATGGACCCACAGACTTCAGAGGGATGCATTTAAACAGTAAGTTACTATGCTATTAGGTAATCACTGCTATCTTACCCTCACTGTGCCATCCCTCTGAACTCTTGACAAGGAGTACCAAAGGTTGACAGTCTCATAGGCATAGTGATATTTACCTTTTACTTGTGAATGTATCACTCTTCAATTGACTGCCTTTGTGACAGGACTGCTGAGGAAAACATAAGGGATCAGCTGCTTTTTATTAAGACTTTTTCATACCAGGACTTTTTCCCAGAACGGTTATGGTGGTGGTCAAGACCAGGCTGGATGGGGCTTTAAACAACCTGGTGTAGTGGAAGGTTCCCTGCCCATGGCAGGGGGATTTGAACTAGATGGTCTTTAAGGTCCCTTCCAACCCAAACCAGTCTATGATTCTACCTTTAATAACCCAGAACTTTCAGTTTTTTCTGCCTGAATTGCCCAAGTATTTGAAATCGTATTCCCAATTTTCATTACAATTGAACTCTAGTTTTTGCCACCTTTTCTGTCAACCCTTCCAGTATTTTAGATATTTTTTTTTCTTTCTGGATTCCTCTGCAGCATCCAGATGAGCAAGCACCACTGTGTTACTGTGCTGACAGGGCACCCTTAAACTGGGTTGGGTGGGTTGGTAAGAATAGTGGCCAGGACTGCAATCCTTGTTCTGTTTACCTTACTTCAGGGCAGAACAGAAATGCTGTTGCTTCATGGGGTTAATATTATTGAATCTGTGACAGTTTATGTATGGTTTGTCCTCGAGATGTCTTGTGTTTGCTGTGCATTTCTGATACACTTTTATCCCAAAGGGCTATCCATGAGCACTACATTCTTAGTAACAACAGAATGTAGTGTACAGTAACAAAGCAGCAAGTTAGACTTATTTTTCTCTTATCTTGTGCTCTTCACTCGTCTTTCCCTGGACAAAACAGCTTGTCTGTAAAGTGACCAGTCCCTGTTCAAAGGGCTTTTGTTTGTGTTTGATTTTGGCTTTTAGATGTTTCACCTTAATAGTCAACTCAAAGGGAGTTTCCTGCTGTGTGCCTTGAGCAGGAAAAGTATCATTTTGGTTGTTTGTGCAATTTGTGCAATTTGCAAAATTGTATATTTTTAATTGGCATTTGTGTATTATTTATTTGCAATTTATATTTTTATGATATATATTTGTATCTAAATTTATATATTTATTTATTTGTATTTCATTTATTTACCATTTGCAAAGTTTGTATATTTGCATCTGTCTGTTGGTACCCGGGAGTGAATTAAGATTTAGGTGTCTGCTGCACATTCTTGAGACCCCCTTTCTACCAACCTGTTATTCCACAATATCTCTTACACTGGGAGCTTAACATACTTTTAAGTAGGTTCTTTTCTGTTCATATTTTTGAGGTGGAAACTCAGGTTTGAAAGAAACTGAGTCACTTGGTGCAGGCATTGCTCCAAAATCATGAACTGCATAACTGATCAGAACAGAATTTATTCTTCTTGAACCCACTTTATTTAATGTAATGACTTCACATTACTCGTTATTTTAATGTTGTGCTGCTTTAACAAATTATGATGACAAAATTTAATGCATGGCTTGCAAGCATCTGCAGCCTTAATTTTACATATGTGAAAGCAGTGGCCATTATAAACTCTGTGCATCCATCAGCTGAAGATCAAATAAACCTTCAGGCATTAGTCCTCTTACACATTTTCTGTCAGCCCAGACATTCACACTGGTGCAGTGTAAGATTGAAGGAAAACATCAAGTCACTGCTGTAGTTTTCCTTGCTTCACTCAGGGCAGTGTGTGCACTTCCCCTTCCTTTCTCTTTGACCCAGTTTCTACTTTCTTTTTCACTGTGGCATCTGACCAGACAGCACCTGTTATTTTTTTATACGGTGTTCTCTTTACTTTTTGTCCAAAAATACCGATACTGAGCTTGTTCAAAAGATATCACCTAGCTTCTGATGTCACTATTCTTTTCAGTATTGAATTGCACTTCTGAAAAGCATACATGAAAAATACATGCACAAAAGAATTGCTGTTAAATACTGAATATTTCTAAATGTCTTTGCCCTTGATGTTACTTTTTTTCCTGCCTAAACACAAATTTTACATACTTTTGAAAACTACGTGGAACTGTAATTTGGACAGGTTCTGTAATGAGCAGGCTGTAGTTCTGGTCAAAGATCTCTAGTTCTCCTGAGAACAACACTTTTCCTGGAAGGAGTGGGGTTTGATCTTTGTTTACATATTGTCACCAGAATGGTAAGGCAGCATGTGTTAAGTTTAGCTCACTCCCAGGAAGCCAGACTGCTGGAGCTGGAAGAGCTAATCAATATCTGCTCAAATGGGCTGCTTTTTAGTAGTGTTCACTGAGTTTTGACTATTTGATATACCAACATCTCCACTGCAGCCTTGAAGATGCTGGGTTTTTTTCCCCAAAGGGGAGAACTTCACTTTGACAGTAGGAATCAGTGGCTCAAAGTTAGTAAGAACATGGGTAATTACATCAAGATTAATAAAATGGTGAGAAATAACTGTACTTTTTTAATTTCTTCAAATTAGGCAAATAGCAGGAATTAATGGCCATCACAGTGAATTTTGGTTTGCTTCAGGATCTCTAGGCTAGTCTGTGTACTTACACAATAGAGTGGTTATTCATACTGGAGACTGGGACATGTATTTCATCTCGTCTGGTAGCTAATAACTCATCCTAAAATAGAAACTATGACTTCATCCTAGAATTACCTGTCATGATAGGGTTATAGCATGTCAA